TTAAAACTGCCATCAATGCAACCAACTTATCACAAGTTTCCACAAGTTTAAGCCCTCTAAACTGCATATTAATTTCAGCAATCCACATAATTGTTGGAAATTGTTGGAAAATTTTGGGTAAAACCAGAATTTTTTTCCTAACTTTGGAACTTGGGGTGTGCCCCAAGGGGTGTGCCCATTGTGCCTCAACAGGTACCCAAGTGTTTTAGAGAGGGAGGTTATGGGCAAAATAGGCTAGACCCATTGGACCCAAAAATCACTACGCGCGCGCCGCCGCCGCTGTCCTTCCGGTCCATCGGCGCGGGCTGGGCTGGGCCTGGGCGAGTGCGCGGTGTGTGGTTAGGTTGGGCTTGTTCGGCCCAATACCTATCTTTTTGGGCAAAAAACATTTGAATTTAATTTTATTTTTTGGTAAAATAAATTCCAGAATTCAAATTAATTCCGGAAATAAATTGGTTCGGTTTTACTGTACACCCAAATAGGGCCCTTCCCGTTTTTTATCTGTTTGAATTTTTGAACAGATTCAAATCTGTTTAAATTCAAAACCAATCATACCTGTTCAAACAGGCTTGCACCTGTTTAATTCAAAACCTACAGCCACTAGGGGTGAAATCGGTTCGGTTCGGTCGATTTTTTCACCATTTTTGCACCGAACCGATCATTTCAGTTTTTTATATTTGTAAACCGAACCGCTCAGAAAAATGACATAAACCGGCGCGGTTCGGTTTATTACGGTGCGGTACGGTTTTTTTGGTTTTTCTGTTTTTTAGCCTTTTTTTTTTCCTAGTGGGCCTTACATTTTGGGCCTATATTTCAATCCATTTTAAATAAATTCCAGAATTCAAATTAATTCCGGAAATAAATTGGTTCGGTTTTACTGTACACCCAAATAGGGCCCTTCCCGTTTTTTATCTGTTTGAATTTTTGAACAGATTCAAATCTGTTTAAATTCAAAACCAATCATACCTGTTCAAACAGGTTTGCACCTGTTTAATTCAAAACCTACAGCCACTAGGGGTGAAATCGGTTCGGTTCAGTCGGTTTTTTCACCATTTTTGCACCGAACCGATCATTTCGGTTTTTTATATTTGTAAACCGAACCGCTCAGAAAAATGACATAAACCGGCGCGGTTCGGTTTATTACGGTGCGGTACGGTTTTTTTGGTTTTTCTGTTTTTTAGCCTTTTTTTTTCCTAGTTGGGCCTTACATTTTGGGCCTATATTTCAATCCATTTTATTTGGGCTCAGGCCATGTAATTCCTACATATGTTTGGGGCCTCACATTTTGGGCTTATTAATATTATATAAGTCGGTTCGGTTCGGTGCGGTTCGGTTAAAAAAATCAAAAACCGAAAACCGAACCGAATGTGCAGAAAAGCAAAAACCGAACCGAACCGAACACTTGAAAACTTAAAACACCGACCGAAAACCGTTCGGTTCGGTCGGTTCGGTCGTTTGGTCGATCCTTCCGGTTATTCTTTCACCCCTAACAGCCACCACTACATCTATAAATAGGACATCCCTCATTTGATGTTTACACATTCAGAAAATTCGTACTTCACCTCCGCAGATTTATTCTTCATTTTGCTGTATTTAATTTTTGTCAGAAAGAGTATAAACACTTAGTGTGTTCGTTAGGCAAACAAGTTGTAGTGCTGCTATTGTTTGTAGTTGATCATTTCATCTTGGGAGATAGACGTCCACATTTTGAAAGCACCGTGGAGAGGACGAATCTGTCTTAAGGACACAGTGTCAAACACTGGATTTGATCAGATAATTATTCAAATAAATTAATCAAGTAAGTTGTTTAATTTATTATTCTATTTTATTTGTTTATTTAATCAGATTTTAATTTTGTTTTTGTAACAAAATAAAATCTATTTTTATTTATTTATTTTTTATTTCGATTTTGATTTTTGTAATTAAACAAATTCTCTCATTTCTTTTATTTCTTTTATATTCTGATTGTTGTTTAGTACACAACAGAATTTAATCTATTTAAATACAGTAAAAATTGTCCTACAATGACCCATTCCAACTTGCCATTGCAACAATTGGTTCAGAGAAAAATCACCCACCCAAACCGTTCCCCGTGGCCTTATTCGCTCTCTTCATGCCCAAATCCTACTTTCCAACCCACGGGAGTATACAATGACAACTTCCAGGCAAACCTATTAGTGGATAAATCATGAAAATCGCTTCCATCCACCAAATAAGCAAGAGTCACTAAAATGGAGAAAGTGTCTTAAAAGCACATTTCCGACAAATTACAATTCACAAGCATTCGTGCACAAAGAAAAAGCCGAGTAACTATAGATGAAAAAGGGACCTAATCATGGAAACTCTGATTTTTATCAGATATTACAAGAATATTGACAAACCTTTACCGATGACACTCACACTAGCTGCAGATTACAAATATAGGCTGCATATGAGAGGGGGGAAAAAGCAGCAGACCACGTAAGGAAATGCCAACAAGCTACCTATACAACCACACAATTACTGCTCACTCAAAATAAATCTAACATAAGGTTAGCTCAACTTCAATATCCTCCATTTTCTATCTTGACGACTTCTAACCAGAAGGATAGCAGTCCAAGTCAGAAGAAGCATACCAACATCTTCCACCAGTTCTCTTCCCATGTTGAATTTTCACTTCTTGTCAAACTCAGTGAATGCGGGACCACTGGCATGCTAGTTACAACATTGTAATCAACCACAGATGGGGAAAATAGGGGGAAACAAGAAGATAAAAAGACCCAAGAGAAGGCCTATTCCAATTACTCTTACTGCTGCAATTGGAGTTCTTGTCATTGGGTACTGCGTGTTAACCCACCTCGTGTTATATTTCTGCACAACAGAATGACTTGTTATCTTTAATGAGTTTCAAGACAACAATGACCAAAGTGAAGCAGTGACAAATTTTAGCAGTGACTGAATTTGTTCAGTACAATCCTAAAAATTCAGCAGATTAAACAGTCTTACAAATTGGGAAAAAAGTAACTAAGATAAACTAATGGGCTATTTTCACAAGCCTTCACTGCAAAAATAAAAAATTAATAAATAAATAAATTCAGAGCTTTCAATGTTAAGAAACATTTACAACTACCATCCAGAAAACATCATGCAATACAAACAAGCAAAGGAAAAAGAACATTTTAAAAAGAAAAAATAAAGAAACGAATTAAAACACATAACAAAGTTTTTTTTCTGTCCATTGATCAGTAAATCTATGACAGAAAGAAAACTTATCATCCAAAATAAGCAGGTTTACACGGGACCCAATCTTCTCACACCTTATGTAGCTCTTAACAGAAGACCGACTCCGCACTCCCTTTCGATTGTGTATTATATCTCATGTTTGGATTAACTCAAGATTATGAGAAGGGATTAACAACATCCTATGAGTTTTGCAATTTTGACTAACTAGTCTGAATGTCTCCTTAGTCCCTCATTTTGTAAGCTACCCCCCTAATGGGATTCAATAGTCCCAATATGGGGTATACTATGTCCACAGGGACTATTAGTCCAAACTACAATTTTCTTAGCCAAACATTGGATTACACATTTTATTGGATTATTAATCTAATCCCAAGGCCATGTCCACCCAAACAAACATGCCCTATGTGTATTTGGTTAAGGGAATGAAAAATGGGATGAGAGTGAGGGAGGAAAGGTGTATTCTCAAAGAAAGGACAATATCTTGTCCTACATTTGTTTTGTCATCCAAGAAGAAATTAGAAAGAGAGGCCAACGGTTGAGGTTTCATTTAAACATTGTGCCATAATAGCAAAGGATGTTATTTCAAGGGGAGGGGAGGAAAAAAAGCTTATTCCCTGCCTTTTGTTTGGAAAAAATGATTTTTTGGCTTGAGAACTGAATGAAAATTGTCTCATAAAGTTGGTCTCATGAATAAGAGATTGAGAATGTTGATTGAGCATTTTATACATGGTCTAACAGTGACAGACACATGGCCTAACCATAAGGGACACATGGCCTTAATAGTCTTAGACCATGAGAGACACATGGCCTTAATGCTGTCTTCTATGAAGCACGGGTACTCCAAAAATAGTGTCGTACACGCACCGGGTACTTACCGGGTGCGAGTATGCGTACCGGTACGGCTGCACGTGTACCGGGTACGGCAAAAACCAGTTCGGTACGTCTGCCTCTGTTGGGTACGTCATGGGTACGGCTCGGGTACGGCATGGGTACGCCTTCAGTACGTTTTGGGTACGTCGGGGGCAGAAATCAAATTTTCTAAAAAATTGAGGGGTACCGGAGCAATATTAAGAAAAATTTTAAAAAAAGAAAAAGAAAAAATGTGTATACCTACGAATGCCCTAATCTCATCACTGTTTTGCATCTCATCGAAGCAAAGAGAGAGGCGACTTCGACCATCTTCATTTTCCTCTTCTACGACTTCGAACAGTGATCGACTTCAACTCTCACCCTCATCTTCAACCCTCACCCTCGTCTGCGACTTTGAAACAGATCGACTTCGACCCTCATTCACCCTCGTCTTCGACTTCGACCCAGAGGTTCGACCCTCATCTTCGACTTCGACCCTCGGCTTCGACTTCGACGCAGAGATCAGATCACCCTCCTCATCACTGTTTTGCCCTAATCTCCTCTTCGACGCAGAGATCAGAGGTATACGTATATATCTCTGAATATTTTTTTTTCTTGTTTCGTCTTTAGTTATTATTATTAATACTGAAAATGCTAATAAATATTAATAATAAATATTAGAGATGAAAATGCTAATAATCATAAATGGTAATAATCATAAATATTATTATTAGTTATTAATAATAAGAAATTTGAGATGAAAATGCTAATAATAAAAAAAATTAGTTATTCCTGAAAAAACAGTTTATGCTTATAGGATGTAATAAGCAATTTAGTTAAATTAGATGTATAAGCTTTTCACCACAGTTTATGCTTATAAAACAGTTTAGTTAATAATCAAAAATATTATTTTTTATGCTTATAGGAAAATGAGTTCATCAAGCAGTTTAGGTTCATCTGCTGCAAGTGCTTCTGCTCCTTCCATTGATCAATCTGGAGATGAAAATGCTCCTCTTTGGGGCTATGTTACAAAATTAGTTAAAAGGGGAGAAGGAGGAAGTGGTAATACAAAATTTAAGTGTAATTTTTGTGACATTGAGTACCAAGGGTCATATTTTAGAGTTAGAGCCCATTTGTTGCTACTTACTGGCCATGGAATTAGAGTGTGTGCAACTGTGAAGAATAAGAGTAATCTTCTTTCTGAAATTCGAAAGGTAGATCAAGAAGCTGAAAACCGGAAAAAAATGGCAAAGCCAAAAAATGTTCCTTTACCGCCTCCATCTTCTCAAATTAGTGCTAGCCACGACAGTGTAGAAGATGTTGGAACATTTAGAATGGAAGGTTATGCACCAAGAAAGAGAAAGGCTTTCCATTTGGCTAGGAATCCATACTTTGTGGATGCTTTTCAATATGCTGCTGAGAATCAAATTGTTGGGTATGTCCCTCCTGGATATAATTTGTTGAGGACTACCTTACTTCAAAAAGAAAGGGCAAATATTGAAAGGTTATTGGAACCAACTAAAAAATCATGGGATGAGAAGGGGTTGAGTATAGTATATGATGGATGGACTGGTGCACAAAGGAGGCCTCTCATTAATTTTATGGCAGCATGTAATGGTGGAGCTATGTTTATAAAAGCTGTTAATTGTGAGGGTGAGACCAAGGACAAGTATCATATTGCCAAACTAATTAGTGAAGTGATTGATGAAGTGGGTCCTAATAATGTAATTCGCTCCAGTTTGTAGTGCAACTGGATCAATTATTCAAGGTAATTATCCGAAGATCTTTTGGACACCTTGTGTAGTTCACACTCTTAATCTTTCTCTTAAGAACATTTGTGCTGCGAAGGAAGTTGGAGTTGCTGCATATGCTTATGATGAATGCCATTGGATCACTACTGTGATTGATGATGTAATGTTTGTGAAAAATTTTATCATGAATCATTCTATGAGATTAGCTATTTTTAATGAGTTTGTACCTTTGAAGTTACTTTCTGTTGTAGATACACGCTTTGCATCTGCAATTGTTATGCTAAAAAGGTTTAAACTTATATATCATGGTCTCCAAACAATGGTCATAAGTGACAAATGGGCTTCTTACAAGGAAGATGATGTTGGGAAAGCAGCTGTTGTAAAGGAAAAGTTGTTGAATGATGTTTGGTGGGATAAGATTGAATATATACTCTCATTCACATTGCCTATTTATGAGATGCTTAGATTTTGTGACACTGATAAGCCATGTCTACATTTGGTTTATGAGATGTAGGATTCAATGATTGAACAGGTGAAGGCATCCATCTATAGGCGTGAAGGGAAGTCAGAAAATGAAAAGTCATCCTTTTATTCTGTAGTGCATCAAATATTAGTGGAAAGGTGGACAAAAAGTAGCACACCTCTTCATTGCCTTGCTCATTCCTTGAATCCAAGGTATAATTCACATTTGACTCATGAATCCAAGGTTTATACTTTAATTTTTTTCATTGCATAATTTACTTACTATTTTTTTCTAATTATGAAATCTAGGTATTATAGTGGGATGTGGCTTCATGAAAATCCCATTCGTGTTCCTCCTCACAAAGATGTTGAAATTTCTGAGATGAGAATCAAGTGTTTTAAGAGATACTTTCCTGATTCAGATGAGAGAAGGGTTGTTAATACAGAGTATGCGAAGTTTTCAGGTTGTTTGGAAAGTTTTAGTGACTCTGACTCAATATGTGATAGAGGAGTAATGGAACCAGTGGTTTGGTGGTTGACACATGGCTCTTCTGCACCTATGCTCCAATCCTTGGCAGTGAAATTACTTAACCAACCATGTGCCTCATCATGTTGTGAAAGGAATTGAAGCACCTACTCTTTCATTCACTCTATGAGGAGGAATAAAATGACACCACAACGGTGCGAGGATTTGGTTTTTGTGCACTCCAATATTCGTCTCTTATCAAGGAGGAGTCAACAATACACAGAAGGAGAGACCAAGTTATGGGACGTTGGGGGAGATGCATTTGATTCACTGGAGGGTTCTAGTTTCCTTGAAATTGCAAATCTTTCACTTGATGAGCCAGAGATGGAAGCTATTTTATTCAATGATAAAGTTGATGGAAGTGAACTTTGAAGTGTCAAGTTTAGATATATAGGGCTTTCTTTTGTTTTTTTTCCTTTGCTTGTGTTATGGACTGAATTGGCCTTGTTTTTCTTTTGGTGTTGGTTGTTTTTCCTTTGCTTGGATTATGGATTGAATTGGTGTTGGTTATGTTATGTTGAATTCAAATATATTAATATTTGTCTTTTAGCTTTATAGTTCTCTTTTTAGTTTTGATATTTAACTTCAATTTGTACATTGGATCTTTTAACCATAATTATAAAAAATAAAAAAATAAAAAAAAATATCGGCGTACCGCAGTCGTACCCGTACCCTACTTTTTTGGGGTTTTACCGTATCGGCGTACCCATACTCGTACCCGTATCGTACTTGTACCCGCACTCGTGCTTCATAGGCTGTCTTAGACCATGAGGGACACATGACCTAACCACGAGGGACACGTGGTTTTGGAAGCCATGAGGTATACATGGCCTTGTCATATGTCTTGCCAAAGATGCCCATATAAAGGCATGCTCAACATTGTGAATATGATCACAAAAATAAGCTAAGTTCTCTCCTCCTCTTTTTCCCATTGTGTATAAAAGGAGACCATCCTCTTTGGTTGAAATATATAAATTTTTGCTCTCATATTATAGTCAGTCTGCTCCTACAATATATTCTTCATGTGTGAGAGTGCTGCCACTGTCAATTTGTCGGAGCTAAGCTACTTAGCAGGTTCTAAACCATTGTATCCTGGGAGACAGACGCCGACATACCTTCAGCATATACGGTGAGACGGCGAATTTATTTTAAAGAGACTGTAGTATCACACAGGCTTCAGTTTGCTTTCTTTTCTCATTTCAGTATTCATCAAGATGTAATTTCCCACGAATTCTTGTTCTGTGGCTTTTCCAGTTTAATTTATCATGAAACTATTTCTTTTATTTAATTCACACAATTTGTACAACACCTTCGGCATCCATGCTCTTTTGGGTAGAAAGAAAATGGCAAGCGTTCTAGCTTTACTTTCTCTTAGGTTCTCACCCCTTCTTCGCTAACAAACATGAGAATGCTCTCCATCTCAAGCCCTTTCCTTCCCACCATTGCCCCATGTAAAATGGACTCTCTGTGCATGTGTGAGAATTTGAAAACAAGTTCACTTTTTGTCACAAAGATAACTATGACTTATTTGATTAAGATATTTTGAGCACATGTAGCATGAACACTTTAATGGCTTGCATGCTTTGTACATGTCTAATTTTTTTTTTTTTTTTTTTTTTTTTAAAGAGGTTCATGACAGCTTAAGCAAGAACAAGGTTGTGTTTTCAGCTTGAGCACATTCAGTTGATGCTCATAGCTGCCCAGGATAGCCCCCGAAAGAATTATCATAGTGGGTACCTATAAAGCACAGCACTTCTATGAAGGTAGAGTGTTCATGTCGTGCCCTTGTTGGACACTGACATTCGTTGGACGTTTCCCAATACATGTTGGACACTCATTCAAATGTGTTCTATCACTTTCTTAAATTCTTTAGCTCTAAACACGCTTCGGACATTTAGAGGACACATATGTCCATTGCTTAGACACATAAAACTAATTATAAGCATGGTTGTTAAAATCGGGATCCTATGCAGAAACAGTGAGAGGGTCCAGTGGATCGGATCAAGGATCATAAGCAAGATTCTGAAAAGCGGTTGCGGTGGCCGTAATGGTAATGGTGACGCGGTTACGGTTGCGGGGTGTAAAGGCCGTAGCGTAACGGTTGCAGTTACCGGAACTGTGAATTTTTTTATTTTTCGCACAATTTGCAAAAAACTTACTGATACGCATATTTTTTTTTAGAATCATATTTATTGGGTTTTAAAATAAATTTTGATAAATTTTTCATAATTTTTAAGTATGATCCAATATATTTCATATTTTTAAATCACTAGAAAATGTTTTTTTTTTACATTTTATTTCAATAATTAATGGCTTTATATGTCATAAATCCATATTACACTTGTGGCAAAATTTTCTTTTATTGGACTTAGATGTATAAAATTATTTTTAATTATTATACTTGTGGAGGCATATGTACATTTTAACTCAAATAGTTTTAAAAAAGTATACATCCTTAATGGAAGAACTTGACAAAGTACATAACATCATAGCATAAATCACAAATAATAGAGAGTACATTTTACATGTTACTACTAAAATTACATAATGTCACCACCAAAATGAGTGATGTAGTGCATCTTGGGATTTAGATTGTTGAGCTTGATTGTTGCTACTACCTTCACCCCACCAAAATGAGTGACGTGGTGCATCTTGGGAATCAGATTGTTGAGCTTGATTACTACTACCTTCACCCCATCTAGTAGGAAATATATAAGTAAATGTGCTCATCATGTCATCCCTTTCTGTTTCGTGCAATGGGAGAGAAAATGGATACCTTCCCAGAAAAGGATCAACATACACTTGTTGGGCTTGTTGATAATTTGGCAAACCGTATCCTACAGGACCATGTTGTTGAGGGGGCCAAGGATAATTTTGTTGAGGTGGGTAAGGATAGCTCTGGCTATCACTGCTATAGGATGGGCAAGGGTGATATGGATAACTATGGCTACTATCAGATGAATCAAGCTGTTGTTCTCTATTTCTTATTCTTCTTTTACTCCTACGTGTATCACTACCACGAAACCTCCTAGGTAGTTGGGGTAAAGGTGCAACAGGTTCTCCAATATCATAATGTTCTCCAACATCACATAATCCAAATCCTCCAATAAAATCTTCCATTCCTGCACCAAAACTAGTACCATCGCCGCCATCACCACCATTGTCACCGCCACCACCACCACCGTCACCATGAGAAGTGCCTTCACCATCACCATCATCACCTCCTCCATCAGATGGTGTTAAACCACCACTATTATCACTTTGAGTTGGAGTAGGAGTTGAGCTTTAAGAAGTGCGTCGAGCTTGATATCTATGGGTGCCACCACCATCGTTTCCATCGCTGCCATCGCCATTGCTGTCATTGCCACCACCACCATCATCATCTGAGACCAAATCTAGCCATTCAGAATTATCCACACCATCTAGTAAAGGGTTTTCCCTTTCTTCTATCCATGGACTTATTGGATCATCTTCTTCAAATATGTAATCTAAGTTAATAGGATTAAAACTCCTATCGATCTCCTCTTTGCTGCTTCTTTTAACGTGTCTCAATTTTAATCTCATGTTGTAGGTGATGAAGACAAATCTTTAAATTTTCTTATATTTCAATCTATTCATCGTCTTCGTATGGATGAGACTAAAAGTACTCCAATTACGTTCACAGTGAGATGATTTGGTGGTTTGACTTAATACTTTCACAGCTATTTTTTGAAGTTCAGGAGCACAACTGCCATGAATAATCCACCACTCAGTTGCACAAAATTGCATTACATTAGACATAAGTCAAAATATGATAAAAAATTATTTAAGTATTTATATATTGTAAATTTGTAATTTTGAAAATAAAACCTGGATTTGATTGTTTCCATGCTCTTTGTGCTAAAGGAGTACCAAAAGTTTCCTGTTTATCTCGAAACAGCAACAACTACAATTTGGACAATCATTATAAGTAACATTTGCAAAAATAGATTATTACTATTAAAATTTAAATAATTGGTGCGTACTTGATTTGTTGCTTTCACTTGAGCATCCATATTAGGCTCCAGTCTGGTAATTACTTTTTTAAGTCCATCCATCACTTCTCTTATCATTTCATTGGATGAGATAACACCATATTGAAATTGAGGATTTAAAAAATATCCTTCAAAAATAAGAAGACAATTAATAATTGTAAATAAATATACATTTTATAATTGAAATCGTAACACTTACCAGTCGCATGCAAATCTTGATGCAATTGAAAAGACCATCGAGTATCAATAATTTTCCAATACTCGGTGTAGTAGCGACAATCTCTTTGAATTGCCAACTTTGCTCTATCTATAGCTTCATATATGAAACCCATTGTTGGCTTCTCATCTCCATCAACCAACCTCAATACTCTGACTAGGGGCTCATGAACTTTACAAAGCTCTGTTGCTTTCTGCCAAAACTCCTTTCCCAAAATAATTTTTTTCACATTGTAAGGCTGCCCAGTCTTTGCCTTCCCCCATCTAGAATTTTTCCACTCATCACTATAAACATATCTCTCAATTGTTGTTTATATCTAACAATACTCTCAATGGCAATAAAATTTGTAGCAAATCGAGTGATGGCAGGTCGAATCAATTCTCTACCTCCAGTGAATTTTCTCATTAAATCCAACACCCATCCACTATTATAAATGAAATCGGTGATGGTTTTACCATCTTCAATCACCTTTGCTACACTTTTCTTATTGGCTATGTCTTTTAGCATGAGATCGATACAATGTGCTGAACAAGCTGTCCAATATAAATGTTTCCTTTTTCTCATTAACATTTTACCGGCTGCTTTCAGTGCAGGTTCATTATCAGTTACCACTTGAACAACGTATTGTTCTCCAATTTCATCAACAACTTTATCTAACAACCCAAAATAATATTCAGCAGTCCTACTAACAATATTAGAGGCATCAATTGATTTGTGAAATATAGTACCTCTATTGCAGTACACTAAGAAGTTGATGATGTGTTGCCGAGTTAGACTGCTCCAACCATCACACATGATGGATACACCTCTCTCTTCCCAAATTCCTTTAATGATCCTATCCATTCTGTCATTTCATCATGCTCCATGCCCAAATATACTTCAGAAACTTCATAAGCACTAGGACCCTTTACTCCTGGCCCTACTTCAGCAGCAACATCAAGCATGGGTTGTGTATACTCTGAATCAACTGCATTGAATGGAATACGATTATAGAATATAAACTTGGACACTGCCCGTCCCAATCTCTCTTTTAGCTTCTGTAAATTCATTGTGGAGATTTTTCGCTGTTTTGTACTCTTGCTCTTTTGGAGTTCTACATCCATTGCCCTCAACCTTGCTTCAGGAGCATTAGGCTTAATCCAATTACGTCCACTCCCACCAGTTTCACGCACAGATTGTGATCGACGAAAAACATTAGCAATACCTGACCCTTTAGGCAATCTTCGACCACTACCCCCTGCACCAGAACTACCACCTGCATCGTATTGTGATCCATGACCTGCAACACCTCGTCTAAATTGTTGCCTTTCCTCCCATTGTTGTTGTGAACGAATACTTGCTTGTCTAGCCCTGGTCATCTCTGGATCAGAGTCAGAGTCATCATCTCGAAGATCTACAAAATCTCCCTCTTCATTTTCATCATAGAGATCATCTCCCCTAATATGTGCTTCCAATTCAGCTTTTCTCTTTTGTTTGTCTACTTTACTCATTTTCTTATTTTGTAAATGTTTCATCATTTCTTGCATCACGTCTCTACTAACATTAGGACAAGAACGCACTTGTCCTGTTTGATGTGCTAAATGTTGTTTGAAACGCGTAATCCCACCTTTAATGTGATGTCCACAAAATTTGCAAATAATATGATGTCTAGTGCCTTCAACTTGAGTTCCAAATTTCCAACCAATATCATCACTTGGGGGTTCATCATTGGCACCCTTTTGTCGTGACATTTTTGAATTTGAATTATGCATCATTGATACATTTTGTAATTTTTTTTAAATGTTTATAAAATTATTTTTGAGCAAAACTTGAACTAACTAAATAAACAATATTTACAATTATTAAATGAAATGATTGTAAAAAAATATTTAAAATTAAATACTAAATAAAATAATTATAAAAAAATGTAACCACTATTTATACATTTGGATTTTACATGCTAATGTAATTAGGAATAAAGACATTTTTCATGGCATTGATTGAGCTATTGTTTTTATTTTTATTTTTTTATTTTACAGAAAGACATTTTTTTTAAAAAT